ATATTTAGTTCTCTTAATAACTAGTTAGCTATTAATAACTAGTTATATATTAATAACTAGTTACCTAAGCCTATACCTTTAAACTAGTTACTTTCCCTTCCTGCCCCTTTTTTTTTACCCCTTGTTTTTAATAACTAGTTACGTAACTAGTTAGGCCGCCATAATAGGCTAAAAAATTATTAAGTTAAATACTTATAAGGCATATATTATTAAGGTTAACATAAAATAAAAGCTAATAAAAATCTAAAAGGTAAGTTTTCCCTTATATTTAATTACTAACTAGTTACTAACTAGCTATAAATAACTAAGAATGCTAATAGCTAAGATATTTTAACTATATACCCTAATAAGCTTGTTTACCACGCCCTAAAGTATTAAAATATTATAAGTTTTTGCCTATAACTAGTTACTAACTAGTTGCTAACTAGTTATAAAACATTTTTTTAAATAAAAATAGCCTAGTTATATATATTAAATAATACTATTATAATAAAACCAAGCCTAATTAACTTATTTATAGTTTTTTACCACGTAAAAATAGCCCGGTGTTAAATAATTTAATTATAAAGGCTTTAGGTAAGTTTTTATATATAACTAGTTATAAACTAGTTACTAACTAGTTATAAATTAGTACGTGGTAGCTTTTAACTTTTTTAAAAAGTGGAAGTATATTTACTTAATATAACTAGTTATAGACTAGTTACTAACTAGTTATAGAAAAATTTTAACCTTAATTACCTTTAAAATAACTTTAATTATTTTTAAAACAACCTTAACCACCCCCAAGACGCCTTTAATAAAAAAACCTTGCTTTATAAAATACATGTAAGTTTTTATACTTATATTTAGTTATGGACTAATTACTAACTAGTTATAATAAAAACCTTAAAAATAATAATACCTTTTTTGGTACTAGCATTAAAAAGACTTTTATATTTATTTTTAAAACCCCTACCTTATCTGGCTTTAAGGGCCCGAAGATAATATAAGTCCTATTTTTAATTAGTTTTTATTTAGTTACTAACTAGTTATAGCTTTATTAATAAACCTTTCCCTTTTTTTACCCCTGGCTTAGCAAAGTAAGTCCTATTTTTAACTAGTTTTTATTTAGTTACTAACTAGTTATAGGACTATTAATAAATCTCTTTTTTTTTTGCCCCTGGTTTAGCAAAGTAAGTCCTATTTTTAACTAGTTTTTATTTAGTTACTAACTAGCTATAGCTTTATTAATAAATCTTTTCCTCCTGCCCCTAGCTTATTATAGTAAGTCCTATTTTTAACTAGTCCTTATTTAGTTACTAACTAGTTATAAAAAAGGGGAAAGCCTTAAATTAGGGACCTTCCCTTGTGCACGCTTTAAATTTAAAAGTATAAAAAGCCTTGGGTTACCCCCTTTGCCACTAAAAAATAAAAAGGCAAGTTTTTTTTTAACTAGTTTATATTTAGTTGCTAACTAATTATTAGCCTAATTTTAAGAAGATTACCCGTGTTAGGCATGAGGCGTGGAGGAACAAAGGCAACCCTTTATTTAAAGGGAAATATAGTAAATATAAATTAGCAAAAACTAAATATAAGTTTTTTTAGCTAGTTGCTATTTAGTTACTAACTAATTATAGACTATAGCTAGTTAAACACTTGCATTTTTTAAAGGTATTTTATTACTTTTATAAGTAAAGAAAAGCAAGAGGCTATAAATAAGGACCTTAATAATAATAGTAACTAGTTTTC